AATATTTTTCGTCTTTTCATAATTCACAAACCTGACCATTTAACAGAAATATGTTGTAGACAACAAAATATCTTACAGACGCTATAATATTTTAAGTGCCTTAACTACACCGAGCAATGATAAAATTATCAAAAATAAACCAGAAAAATGAAAGCATAAAATTAATGTGTTTTTATTTTAATTTAAAAGTGTTGGACTACAAAGAATTTAGAAAAAATTAAAGTTTCAAAGTTATTTCAAATTATTAATATAATCCAAGCTTAATTATTTCAAAACTTAATTAAAAATTTGAAATTTTTATATTTCTAATGTCTACAAAGCATATTAAACAATTAAACAAAAAAAGACAAAAAAAAATTCTGTTAATTGAGACCCTTATAAATTAAAAAATACACTAATTTTATGCTTTTATTTTCTCTGATTTATCCTCTATTTATTTTATCATTCGTTAAGTTAATTTCTTTTTTTAATTCATAGTTTATTTTTAATTTTATCTTTAAATTAGTTTGGTTTTTTAAGAGCATATTTTAAAACATGCAAATTATCAATATATGCAAAAAACTGTGGCCAAGTTGTCAAAAAAAAATTGTATGCGTGATCATATAAGACGTGACCGCACGCCTTTCCTGAGAAGGCTTGATATAAATATTTTGCATACTTAGCCTTGTATGAAACATGATTGCTGACATCATACTAAAATGTATGATGTCATCATATATTTTATTATGTTAGCCAGCTATGGGACTTTAGTACATACACTAACTGAGGGTTTTGATTTGGGCAGGTACTAGATATGAAGGACTTTTATGACAAAAAAATACTTTTTTGTTGTTTTTTTCTGAAAAAGTTTTCTGGATATAAGATACATTACAATAGTAAATTAATTAGCTTTACTATTATATATAAATACATCTAATATAAATTAAGATAAATAAAAACTGTTATAAGCAATTAAAACATTTTGCTTAAAAAAGTAGAGCTAAACAGTTTTAAAAATGTGTTTAGAATAAAATTATTAGCTTTTAAATCTCACTTCTTATATTATGTTTCAGGGGTCGAAATAAGCAGGGTCTTAACAATCGGACATCGGACATTGTCCATTTAACAGTCGGACATAAAACCTCAGATTGTCCGATCAATTTACAAAGTCATTGGACATTTTGTCCGGCAAGATTTTTAATTCTTTGAAATAAAATTTTATTCGTTGATTTGAAATTGACAAATTTAAACTTAATGTAAACTATTAGACAAACTTAATATAAAACTTATAATAAAATATGTTGATATTGGAGGCATTCATTCCCAAAAAAAGCGCTGTTATTAATTGTAGTTTTAATGACTGTTCTTTAACAGTTTTATTGTTATACTATTAAATTTAAAATTTTTGCTTATTTAAAACAATCGCAAAAGTCAAAGTATGTTCGATTGATTACTGCAAACGCCGTGGACACCGAAAAGCAAAGAAAAGCTAGTAATTTGAAAAATTTGATGATAAAAAATTTTACAAATGTGTTTTTTTAGAGGCTGAGATCTCATCGATGGAATATTTTTAAAAAAACATTAAGAAAATAAACACTTAAATATTAACGTTATAATCACCCAAATCATTCTATTTTAGCTTGAGCGGTTTCTTGGTGGCATCCTGGTCCTACTCGAGTTTTCCGATTCTTTATTTATTATTCGTTTTTTAAACTATATCTTTATTTGTATTTTTTTTCTTATCATTTATTTTATATATATATATACATACACATATATACATACATATATATATATATATATATATATATATATATATATATATATATATATATATATATATATATATATATAAGATTAAAAAGTTCTAGCTTTATAAAACTTGTCTGCCAAAGAAGGAGTGCCTTTTTGAAAAGTAGATAAATAATAACCTGTAGAACTCATAAAATTTTCTTCGTTGAATTGATCCAATTTTAATGACATGCAGCGCGTGGAATTTTTAAATTAAATAATAGTCCGTAAATATTATATTGCGTTTGATTTAACTGCCTTTAAATAAGTAAAAGCGAAGTTTAAATTTTTTATATCAAGTTTAAAAATAATATGTTTATCTTAATATTTAATATATTAAAGACATTATTATACTATATTACTATAACAAACTTGTTTTCTTGCCGTTTTTATTATTGATAAAAATAGTTACATGAACGCCATATAAATACCTTTTTGGCGCTAAAAGTGGAGCTTATGCACAAAATTGACACTTAGCATATTATATTTTTTTTAAGTAAAAAAATTTACATAACTTTTATATTACCGGTAATGCAATGCAATGTAAACTAACAAGGTTTTCGAGAGAAAAAAACTCAATAAAACTTCAAGTCTAGCTAAAAAAATGCACAGTATTGAATTTAAACTATTTCATTTAAAATACAAAGATCTACGATGATAAAAATTCTGAATATTAAAAAAAAAAAATACAACTTCACTAGCCTAAAATAAAATAAACTGGGAAAATATAATATATATTTCGATCGGATAATTGGGTTCTGTAAAAATTAGATACGCCAGAAGCTAGTCTAAAAAAACCCATCTGCAGTACTTTTTTACTAAAGGCATTTAAAGTACTATCTTATTCCTGTGTTTCTTTTAACAAAACAAATATGAATATATGTAAATATTGGTGAAAATTATTTGTTTAAATTTTATTTCAAAAATTTGATCGGACAATGTTCGACCAAAATAACTTTTGGTTGGATATTTTGTCCAGGGCCTTATAAAAAATTAAATTAAGCCCTGAATAAGTGCGGGACATCGCCACCGCTTGCACCATTCTTGAGACCTGCTTGTGGAGGGCAACAAACAATTGTTCATTTTTTCAGTAAAAAAGAAAAATAGTTGGTTGCCCCCATAAATCAGGTCTGAAAAACAGTCCAAGGGGCACCGATGTCCAACACTTATTTCAACCCCTGTGTTTGAAACCATTTAAAAAATTTTTTTCATTACAAAATTTGTTTGAAAATTTACATATAGATTAAAAAAAGGATAAGGAATCTAATAGACTATGGAACTTTTTTAAAATTTATACATAATTTCTAAGTTCTTAGGGTTTAAAAATTTTAAGGCTGTTTTATTTAAAAAAAAACTTTTTTATTAAGGTTCCCTCTGAAAAAAACTTTGTCTAAAAATTATGTCTAAAAATTATGTATTTTAATGGAATTTTGTCTAAAAATTATGTATATGTGCTAATTCTTTTGTGTATCATTTGTTTTGAATTTTGCGTTTGATTTTTCATATTTTTTTATTTCAATTTGGTGTCATTTTATGCCAAATTTTCTATACTTAGGGACAAGGTGCTTTGTCCAAAAAGCATCAGTTTTTCCAGCACAAAAAATGCAGCATTTGGATACAATTAAGTTCTAAAGTTGAAAGACCCCTCATTTTATGTCTTTTTAAGCTCTATACAAGTATGTTAATTATATATAAATATATTGACAAAAATCCTCTGGAATGGCTACTCATGTTCAGCTGCACTTTAAATATGCTTTTCAATTATGCGATTTACATTTTTTTAAAAGACATAAACTTAATCAAAAAGGTGTATGAAAAAGTATAAAAAATAGTTTTTCAAAGGAAACTAGCTACAAGATTAAGCAAAAAAGAAAGAAGCAATCTGTCAGGGTTAGGGTTAGTTAAAAATTTAAATTCACAAAATCATCAACAAACATAATTAAACTAACTGACATCATGAGCTAGAAATATTAGGCAAATTAACCAGAGAACACAAATAAAAATTAACGGGGCAAACAGTTTAAAACCTTTTATCATTTTTTATCTATATCATTTTTTTCAATAACTGTATGATTCATTGGAATCAACTAAAAAATGATGGAGTGAACGCCACATCAATAATTGATTTAAAATAAACTTACAAAATTTAACAAAAAATACTTTTTAAAATTTAACAACTACAGCTGTTAGATTCATTTTGAGACTCTCAAGAACACAGTTTTATTTGTTATTTGTTATTATTAATATTATTGTTGTTATTATTATTGCTATTATTATTATTATTATTATTATTATTATTATTATTATTATTATTATTATTATTATTGCTATTATTATTATTATTATTATTATTATTATTATTATTATTATTATTATTATTATTATTACTATTATTATTATTAATAATAATAATAGTATTATCAACTTTCTCCCTCATTCAGTTTTGAACAAACTTCTCTTCAGTCATCAACAGTCATAAATTTTTTTGAAAAATATTTCTAATAAATTTAATTGACTAATAATTATTGATTACAATAGTTTAAAAATATATAAAAACAAAATGTTTAAAATTTGACTCAACATGTACCTAATCCCCTTGAAAGTAATGATAACTTTGCAGATGGACCGGATACAGCATTAAGTTCATACATAGGCTTCGTAAAAACATCTGGCTTCTCTTTATCAATTGCATTAGGAAGAACAACTCTTAAATTGCAAACATTGAATAACCTTGGGGAGAGGTGTTTAGAAAAACTTTGGGATAGATTTCGACTGGACATCATTTTTATTTCTATGATTTTCACTACGATGGCCAGCAAATAACACCAAGTTTGCTAACATAGAAAATACCGGATACCGAATTATTTAGCGAAATATTTACCGAAGTAAATAGACAGAAGGAGGAGCGCAAAGTTTTAAATCCAAAAAAACAAGCACACGAGTTTTAATTTAGAAGCTCTTTTAAAAAAATGATTTAAATATAGTCATAGTCATAAGAAATATATTTATATATAATTCTAACTATGTTGAAACTAATTGACAATATTTGATAACTTTTAAACTCGCTAAACGCAAAGAGTTTTGGGATTTAAATTTAGCGATAACAAAGTTAGCTTCATTTAACGAAATTTTTTATAAATAAAAATCTCGTAAAAATGGAGCTAACTTTACAGTTACTTATATATCTTATACTGTTGAGTTAGGTGAGCATGATGATGTCATACTCACCTAACGTCAAATAGCCTGCTGCCGGGGGCTTCAGTACACACATCGAATGACAAATAGCCTGACTCACAGTGGATGCTGCTTCATTCATTATTCTTCGTTTTCCCTCATCGTTTTCTAAAAACGCTCACTTAATTTAGGCTGGCAAAAAAAGTGAGCAATTGCACATATAAAAATACTATAGTAGATATAGCAGCAGGCTATTTGACGTTAGGTGAGTATGACATCATCATGCTCACCTAACTCAGCAGTATAAGATATATATATATATATATATATATATATATATATATATATATATATATAAATATATATATATATATATATATATATATATATATATATATATATATATATATATATATATATATATATATATATATATATTTTATATAAATATATATATAAGTATTTGAGTTGGAACATTGAGCAAGTTTTGAACTATAGTTGGCAAATTGCAAATATTAAGGACCTTTTTTTTTTCTTTCTTTTTTTTTTGTTTTTTTATAGTTGGCAAAAAAATGAATACCCCTTCCCCCTGAAAGCCCTCTTCGGGACGGCCCTATATATATATATATATATATATATATATGTATATATATATATATATATATATATATATATATATATATATATATATATATATATATATATATATATATTATTGATTTTTTTTGACGAGTATATATATATTATTATTTATTTCAGAGATCAAATACAAATACAATAATCCATTTATAATTTGATGAAGAGGTGCTACACTAGGCCCTTCTATGCTGACAAACATGGAGATACAGACGCTACAGCAGCAGTTGTATCTATAAAGTTACTTTCTTATGTTGTTTTTGAAAGCGTTGATGGATTGAGCATTCACTGCTTCTTGTGAAAGCGCATTCCATGGGGTGACAATTTTATTTGAAAAAAAGTTATATTGCTTCTCACAGTTTTGTAATATCTGACGTTCTAGTTTATGGTTATGGCCTCTTAGAATATACTCATGTTTACTTTTTGAAAATTTTTGCGGGACGACAAAACTGACAAGCTCGAGTTTACGAGAGATTTTGAATTGCTCGATAAGATCGGCTCTTTTGCGGCGTTCTTCAAGAGTTGTTAAACCGAATCGTTGGAGTTGATTTTAAAAGGACAGGTGTTTAATAGTCGATGTTGTTTTTGTTGCTCGTTGTTGGACTTGCTCAAGAATGGCAATGTCTGATTTTAAATGCGGTGACCAAGCTTGTACAGCAAACTCAAGATGAGGGCGAATGTAAGTGAGATACAGAGTGCACCATAAATAAAAACTGCGACTGCGAAATGTTTTTTTGAGTCGCCCTAGCATTCTATTTGCTACTGATGCGGCTGACTCTATTTGCGGTCTGACTTTAAGATCATTCGAGACCATCACACCAAGGTCTCTTTCGACTGCGGTTTTTTCAAGAAAAACGACGGGTGTCTTCGACGTTAGACATTGAGTATTTGTACGTCGACATGTTACATTTGCGCCCAATATGCATTTATCAATGTTCAAATGCAAGAGTCAAATGTGTGACTATTCCACTGCTCTGTCAACGTCATCTTGGAGAGTGATGCTGTCCGACTTTTTAATTATCCATATTATTTTGCTGTCGTCGACAAGCAGTTTCATATGATGAGTAATTCTGTCCGGCAGGTCGTTTACAAAGATTACGAATAGCAATGGGTCCAAGACCGAGCCTTGAGGCACTCCACTAGTGACTGCTTTCCATTCAGAAGTAATGTTGTTTATAACCACTCATTGACATCGATTGTTTAGCCAAGCTGCAATCCAATCAACGAGAGCGCCTTGAATACTGTACGCTTTCAGCTTATAAAGGAGACGTTTATGTGGCACTTTTTTGAACGCCTTTGCGTTCAAAAAAGTGCCACATAAACGCCTCCTAAAACGCCACATAAAAGTTTGTGTAAATGACGTCTACTGCGTGTCTGCAGTGAGTTGCTTCCGTCATGATGTCCCGAGTTTCTAAAAGGTTTGATACGCATCCCTTACGATGAACAAAGCTATGCTGGTTTGGAGAAATTAGTCCATTAGCAACGCAGTGTTCCGTTTTTTTATTTTTTTTGTAATTTAAATTTTTCCATAATTTTGCAAGGTATGGAAGTGAGCAAGACTGGCCGGTAGTTGGATGCTTTTAGCCTACTCCCCTTCTTGAAAATAGGTGTTACATTCAATTTTTTTCACAAGTCAGGTACTACACCAGTTGCAAACGAGCATTTATAGATAAGCGAAAGAGGCTTGGCAAAGGTAGATGAACATTTACTGAGGACCCGTGGATGTAAGCCATCGTAGCCGGTTGATTTTCTTTCATCAAGGCTGTTTAGGCATTTTTGTACTATGTCGATAGAGAAAATTGTTAGATCGATGACACAAACTGCTTCTGTACGACTTTCAAAGCCTGGCATTGAGCCTTCGGGCTCTAAAACAAAGACTGATTGAAAAAAATTATTTAACGATGCGCATATATCACCGGTATCGGTTGTGATGTTGCTATTGACTGTTTCAAGCAATGTAATGTTGTTACTGACGCTCTACTTGCTTCTTATATATGCATGTAAGGTTTAGGGTTGCTTTCGAAATCCCTGACGAGTAGCTCTTCGTACTTCTGTCTACCAGCTTTGACCATTTTTTTAACTTTTTTGCAGGCAGTGCGATGCGATATTTTGAGAAGTTTGTGCTATCTCGACCTGAATTAATGTACTTGGCCCAAGAGGTGCGTTTAGCTTTGACCGCCTCAATAAGTTCTGGTGTTACCCATTGCTCCGGTTTTCCTGTAAAGAGAGTGGTAGTTGACGGAATGTGTAGGTTAGTGGCTTCATTGTACAAGTTTGCTAGAAGTTGATAATCTTCGTTTGCATTTAGTCCAGTGAATACTGTTTCCCAGTTAACGGCTGCAATATGTGCTGATATTGCTGCGTAGTTTGCTCGACTCCAAATGATTCAAGGTTTTAACGGTAAAGTAGGCGAGTTGTTGAGGCATGCAACAGCAAATTGGCCTTCGATGAAGCAGTGTGCTTGGCTTATTGGAGTGTCACCAAGAGAATCGCCTTGTTTAATGAAGATTACACGGTCTGGCTCATTTGTTATAATAAGGTCAAGTGTGCTAGTAGGCTCGACGTGTCGACTACTACGGTAGGTTGGGAATGTGATAAGCGGAGTTAAGTGACATTCATCAAGGCACTTCTGGAACCTGATATCCCTTTGACGCTCACCTCTCACGTGAGCAACAGTTGCAATACCATCGTTAACTTCGATAGGCTTATAAGATGTATGACTAAAATTGAAATCGCCATACAGTAGCATTGCAGAGCAGTTTATATTAGGCAGTATTTGTTGAGCGGTAGTGATCGATGTGATACACTGAGTAAGATTTTGATCATTTTTGTCGTGTGGACGATATAAGCAGCCGAGGAGAAATGATTCTTGACCAAGTTTTATTTTTGGCCAGATTTGCCCAATTGATGTTGAGTTGAGCTGAGTAGAACTAACTTCGCTGACTACGATATCGTCTCTTGTGTAAATTACAATTCGACCGCCCCTATTGTCTCTGTCTTTGCGATGTGGTTGGTAGCCGGGTACGGCAACGTCTGATAAATTCTGTGAACCAAGTTTCCGCAAAATAAATGACGTGTGGCCGGCTGAGTTTATGTAGAGCTGATAGTCTAGCAAAGAACTCTTGGCGTTTTTCATTGTTGAGTGAACATGGGTTGTTTTCCCAGTAACATAGATGGCTAGGTGAAACTGTAGAAGTGTCGGATTGCATCGGTTTTATTTTTGCTTTAGTTATTCGTCTAGGGCGTCTAGTTGGCAGTGGAGATTTCTGAGTTAGGAGCGGCTGTACGGCTAGCCTAGTCTGACAGAGCTCTGGCTGGGGATGAAAATACGTAGCATTGATTGGACGTTGATTCGATGACATCGATGCAGCAAATGTTCTCATCCGATTTGCCCTTAAGCAAAGATGCAAATGATGATGTGGCTGTTGGTTTTATTTCTTTCAACTCATTAATTTGTTTTACCAGTAAATCAATTTTGTCTTTCAGGACTTTTTCTCTTAATTCACTAGATTGTTTCTCTTCCTCTAGTGCAACAAGTAGAGCTGCCTTGTTCATAAGAGCAATATCGTTCTGGTAACTTTTCATGAGACTAGCATTTAAATCCTTTAGATCTACTACCGCTTTAAAAGCGTTGGTAGCTATTTCTTTGATTGCTGACATGAATGCAATTAATAATTGCAATGCATTGAATGCAATTAATAATTGCAAGTTTTTAAATTTTTGATATTTGTTACAATTTATTACAAGTTTTAAAAATTTAATTTAAAATTTAAAATTTCAATAAAATTGATATTCTATATGATTGTATGAATATACCTTAATATATACTTTAATATAATAAATTTATACGTATATAACTTACTAATATTAGTAATTTGATTACAAACATTAGTAAATATGCAGTGATAAATTTTCCGAAAATATATTTATTAATTGATAATAAATTTTGGATTTTGTCAAGGCACAAAAAATTAAGAAAAAAAAGTTGAAAAATTATTCTCAAAACTTGTTGAATAGAACAATAGATTAGAAAATATCGT